ATGATACATAAAAAATTACATCCTTTGAGATGTGGTCCTTTGTCGAACCCTGATAATGCGGGATGCTTTATACACCAGATTACCATTTTTATTTCAACGCATAAACTAATATTCTTATCAAATAACATTATATTCATCACCTGGTCAATGTTTCATCATTCGAATTTCCTCATAAGCCATCTGTGATTTTAGTTAGTTTAAATCAAGTATAAATCCACATTAACAATGTTATTAATTCTGAAGTTATCAGAGACCAATTAAAACAACTAAGATATATGTTCGAACACAAACTTAATTAAGACTTTTGAGTTTTGACATTTGATAATTAATTAAGACTTTTGACTTTTTATTTATTGTCAACTAAATTAATTATTAATTAATCCCTTAATAGATCAAGATTACAAGTCATTAACTATAATGCGCACCATTATAATTAGGATTATATAATTTATACATGCACCTATTACATAGATTCTAACAAGTGTCATACTTAATTTTTAAGTAGCCACATCCACTTAATTAATTAATTATATAATTTTTCATGCAAAAAATATATAATAAAAGAACAACGTGCAACATGGCTGCCATAAGTTTACATATTGCACAGCATGTATATTGTGATAATTATCCCATTTGTCGATCTAAAATATTATACACGAAATTATATGTATTAACCGTGTAAATATTTATCTGTAAATCGTAAATTCAAATCTTGTCTCTGTCCAATCGGTGAAATATTATTCATCAATATAAAAAAACTAATTTCAACCCGTCTACAAAATGAAGCTAGTGCTCAATCTTGATCGATTTATTCCACCTCTACTAAGTAAACTACTTTATAAAGTTCATAAACTACATTATCTAAATTGGCCAAGAGCAAAAACTCCATTTAAATATTCAATTGATTGGTATATTCTCATTTCTCATACTACTAAATCTAATTGTTGACAAAAAAAAAGCATGATTTGTATTTAATTGTATATCCTAGGTTTTACTTTTCTTAATAATTCTTTTGACATTGTATATAGTACAAATAGTTTATGTTTACTAGAAAAAGAAAACGAATTTAAAATTATTTTTATTTACCAATTCCAACGATGTGCACATCACTTTTGAAAATTCAAAAAATATAATAGAAGGTTAAATTACAAGAATGATCAATATAAAAATAATCAAGTAATAAATTACTCTTTGAAAAAATAGAGGATTATACAATCGACTCTAGCTAGCTATATATTTTAAAATTTAGAAGGGCTTAATTAATCAATCGATATAATAATATGAAGTCAACATCCAATGTTACGAAAACACATCGAATATACTTAAAATTCTAAATACGTTCGAAAAGCATTCACAATCTCTACGCAAGTGTGGGACACCGGGAAAGTGGACAAAAAATTATCTATGATGTAACCAGTTTCATATTATATTTTGCCTCTCTATATTATTATTCTATGAACAATACTTGTGACCATTATGATACTAGTATTTCCCCCCCATAAAATTACCTCTCTATAATTAGAAAATGATCTAGAATTTAAATTTTATAGATTCAATTTTTAATGTTTTAAGCAATGAACTCATTATATATTTAAAGTCATGTGTTCATATCTATTACGTATTCATTATTATTGTTTTGGTTGAGTTGTATACATAAATATATAATCTCTGGATTCAGATGAACCTGGAATCAGAAGGTAATGTACGCATCTGCCTATAACAATCTTACTCAAAATAAAAATAGATTTTACCTTTCACTATAATGATTCCAATTTTGTTTAATTTTACAAAACTTTCTAATTCCATTTCTAATCCATATTTAAGATATTATCTATAACTTTATTGTCATAAAGCCAAATATAGAAATATAACTAGACTTACTAAACACCCACAATTACAAAAAAGTATCTAATTTAGTGATATTCATATCTACAACTTAAAATTCTAGATTCACATCAATTATCTCTACACAAATTTGGAGGTGCAGATTTTATAAGATCTTTTATTTTTGGTCAATTATTAGTGTGTGGAGCAATTTTTGAAATTTGACAGGATTTTTTGGTTTTTTTAGTCAATTATTTTTTTCATTGTCCTCGTTAAATCCAACAACCATAGTATGTTAAATATTTGATAGAAATAAAAATTATTTACTATTGACAAATTTAAAATCAAAATTGCTCATAAATATATTTGAGTGACTATTTTAGACTTACCACAACATTAGGATCATTTTTGTTATTTTCTCAAAAATATTCCTTATAGAAATAATCCAGTAATATAATTGCTCCTCTACTTACGATATTTATATAGTCGATTCTAACTATATCAGAATCAATTAATTGATTAATATAATTATGCGCAATCAAAATACAATATGATATATATTTTAACTTAAAATTCTAGATATGTTCAAAGAGTATTCACAATATGTACGTAAGTGTGAAACATTTGGAAGGAAAAATGGAAAAAAGTTTACTTGTGATGGAACCAATTTTAAATTTTTAACTTTGAATCTATTGCCCTTTTGGAATATATTATGGGCTAATGTTTATTAGTAATTATTATGTAATATTAATATAGGGAGAATAATACATTTGATCCCTTAATTATTGATAAGTTATGATTTTAATCTTTGCATATATGATTCAATACATGTAAGCCAAGTGTGTAACCTTTAATTAATTATTATATGTGTTTTTGATCCCTTATATATGAATTAAATAGTGGAATGGTTAATAATTTTAAATATTTTTGAACATGCATAATCAACAAACAACTGAAGGGTAAACACACTTATTTAGATTTTACAAGAACTAAATCTAGAGCTTATCAAAAATTAAGGGACTAAAACTGTAATTAACGCAATCATATATTGGAGTGGAGTCAGAATTTTAACTTTAAGGTTTCTGAATTATAGAAACTATGACTTCAAATGCTAATAGTTGTGTTTGAAATTCAACATTTGTAATATATATTTAATTTCTTAACACAAATACATTATTTAAACAAATATTATAGCCTATACTGGATTCAGCCAAATATATATATATATATATATATATATATATCCAAGCCTCTATCTCCGTCCTGAATATATATACTCCGAATCATCAAAAATGTTGAGTTACGTTTGATATTAAACTTATAGCAAATATGTTACATCCGCCTCTATATGCAGTTATATTTTCTCTCTTTTATTTTGTTTTATTATATATATATATATATATATATATATATATATATATATGGAATGGTGTTGGTTTGGTGAGGGGGCATAACTCTTTTCCAATTATGGGAGTTTGTATAAAATGACAAATTCAGGTAAACTAAAGATGACAAAAAAAAAAATCCAAATAATCTTAGAGCCAATAGGCCATAACTTAGACTATTCAAAAAGAAGAAAAACAAATTTAAATACTTTTAATTTAGACAGCTTATTTAAGAACACAACAATATGGACGTTTACTTGGTTACGTAGCTGGTAGTTGCAAAGGTTGAACAATCTTTCTTTTTTCTCTTTCCAAATTTCAATTTCTATACGTCTCATTCTCAGTGTTATTTGAATCGAGAATCTTTTATAAACATATTATTTTACATATATAAAATAGAAGTAAGATTTATGTTTGCTCTATTCTTTTTAGACCTCTCCTATAAAATTATACTGAATATGTTGTTATTGTTGTATATGTCTCAGTTTTCTTCTTCTTCTTCTTAAAAAAAAATCAATTGGCTGACAAATTAAAAATAGATATTTTATACTGTTGAGTTTCTCTTGTTTTAATTTTATATTTATATATATATATATATTTATATAAACTTCAAAATCCATTAGCTTAATAAGTCATTGTTAAAGACTCAATCTAATGTGATTAAGTGGTTTCCACCTTGTTCAAGTATAGTCATCATAAACTAGACAATTGACTATTCTAAAGTCAAAACAATTTTTATTAGAAAAATAAAAACCTATGAATAAATTAAGAATTTGAAGTTTATTGATTTCTATAATAACCTCAATTTATTACACAATAATAATTGTGTTCACAGTAATTTTTTTGAGGTATTTAGTAAATTTTTATTACATAGACATGATATTGGCGAAAATTATTAGGCTCCTGAAAACTTATAGGTTGTATCTTAAATTTGTATAAGTCTTAACATTGAAGGATTTTGTAATACTGTTGTGATCATTTCATTCTTAACCAAAAATCTTAGGTTTGAGCAATAAAAATCAAAAACCTTTTTGTAGGGAGCACTTAACCCCTTCCCCCGATGGTAATATTGACTTGTTTGTTTTGATACCCAAAACAAAAACTCATTTACCGAACACTATATAAACAAGTCGACACTATTACCACTCCTTCAAGACATTCAATAAAATTGAAAAAAATACATAAATTAGCATGATCTCTCTAAGGATGAGACACAGAAATAAAAAAATGGTCCAATTAGCCACTATTATTCAACTAAAAAATGAACCTCAAAATAAGTGTTAACTATACCTTACAAATTAGGGTATGGATTACATGTCAAAGGACCAAAAACTAAAAGAGCATACAAGAAGAAAATAATAGTTTGACTTGAGAAATCAAACATTTTATTTCTGTTTGAGTGGGAGGGAACATTAATAAGCATGCTGATCAATTTTAATATAGATAACATAAAACATCAAGAATTTTTGCATAAAAGATGCCTTCATCCATAGATAAAATATATCACAAAATACAACAAAATCAATACAAATCTTGATTTACAAAAAGAAAAGAAAAAATGTAATTACATCAAAAAGAAAATCTCTCTGTATGTGTGCGTGCCTATTCCAAGCTATGTTACTGGAATTCTCCAAAATTGTTATTACACCCGTGTCAGATTATATAAAAGTGTACTACTTCTGAATGATCCAACACGCACCTGACAACATTTTTAAAGAGTTCGAGCAACATAGATTTCAAGAACAATAACCAATCCAAAAAAAAAGAATAATCCAAGAATTGATCATCAAATTAAACATTTGAACTTCCATCAATCTTATGATAATAAGAATCTGATGAATTATCAAAAGAACTTTGAGGAATTTCTTCATCAATAATAATAAACTTCTCTTCATCTTCATATTCAATAGTTGAAGTTAACTCTTTAGCTCTTTTAGCTTGATCTTCCCAATTAGTTCTTGATAAAATCGCCAACAACATTGTCACTGCACATGAAGCTTGTGCAGCTAACAATCCAATCCAAAGCCCCGTAAAATTGTACCCTCGAAAAAACCCTAGATACACAGCCACTGGCATTCCAACTAGGTAAAAACATCCTAAGTTGATGTTGGCACCCAATTTTGGTCTAGCTGTTCCTCTTAGTACCCCACAACCGGTCGTCTGTGGGCAATTCCCTAGCTCACAGAGTCCGATTATGGGCAAAATGAGGGATGTCAGGGCAATGATTTCTTGATCCTGAGTGAACATACTTGCCCAGACATCCCTCACTAGTACCGCGAATGTTAGAGCTATTAGCCCTAAAACAAAACTAGATGATAGCCCCACGAGTGCTGTCAATCTTGCTACATTTGGCCTATTTGCCCCGAGCTCATTTCCAACACGCGTTGACACACCAAAACTCAATGAAGATGGAAAAATGTATATCAACGACGTAGTTTGGATCAAAATCCCCATCGATGCAACGGTTGCTTTAGGATTAACCAACAATCCACATAACAAAATCATGATCTCATACCACCACCATTCCAAACAAACACTCACACAACTTGGAATTGCCAAATCCAAAAGTGATTTCCATCCTTTAAAACAATCCAATGAAATTGAACTCCAAGTGTTGTTATGCACCTTAGATACAACAATGTAAGCAATTAATGATCCAACAAGATTAAAATTAGTCCAAACCCCACTTAAAGCAACACCTTTAATCCCAAGATCAAGTACTATAACAAGTAAATAATTAATAGGAATATGAACAAGACTAGCAAGTGCAGCACAATAAGTTAATGGCATGATTATCGATTGAGAACGAAGATAAATCCTCAACGGATGAAGAAACGAAAGGGTAAAAAGGTCAGGCAATGAAAACAAGATGTAATTTTGTGCTTCTCTTGCTATATCGTGATCTTGTCCACAAAATATCAATATTCTTTCCATGTTACACCATAAAAATGATATTGGTATCGAAATCAATAGAAGAAGTAGAATTGTCCTTTGTAAACTAAGTCCAAGAATCTTATATCTTTTAGCACCAAATGCTTGTCCACAAATTGGTTCCATTCCCATAGCAAAGCCCGAAAGGATCGAATAACCAGTAATATTTGCAAAACCTATAGCCAACGAACCACCGGCTAATGACAGCTCACCGAACCGTCCTAAGAAGAGCATCGAGATCATCGATCGAGAGTAAAGGAGCAACCCAGTAAAAATCATGGGAAATGCTATGTTAGCTATTGATTTTGCTTCACAATACGCTAAAAACAGGGGATTTTGCTCTGTTTTGCTCTGTTTATTTTGAGAAACTAATGGATTCAACATCTTTTTGGTTTTTTTTTTCTTTCTTTATTTGTAATTTAAATAAAATTTTGGTATGTAATGAAAAAAAATTTTGTAACAGAAAGTTGTGGGCAAAGAAGATAGAGAGAGGGTTTTAGGAGTAACGGTTTGGTATGGGTTTTATAAGGGCGGGGAATATTGAATAAATATATTTTAATTTACTTTTTTAATATTTTTGTCATATAGTGAATTTCTATTTTTTTTTTAAAAATATTATAAAATCCTTTTAAGGTGGGGTATAAGAAAGAAGTTTTAATGATGATCTGGGGCGGAATTATCTTTGTTTGAGAGGAGTCAACTGATACCTGTTCGTTAGATCAGTGTAGCTGAATTTATATATGGATCATCTTGATTATGCCGTGTGATTACTTTTTATATTTTGAATTTTCTTTGCAAATTTTTTTTGTTGTGGAATAGATAAGATTTATTCATACTTAACTAGAAGTTTCATGTTCAAACCATGAAAATAATGTAAAAAGATCGTTGGTAAAGAACACTTTTTTCTCTTTTACGAGACATTGTAATCTGTATTGACATGAATTTGAATTAGTCGGGGTTTTAAAATAACACTAGTTGCAACATAGATTTTGGGATTATTTGTTTTCTTCTTATTTTCTTTTTATTTGTTATATATAGGTCGGCCTTAAAGAAATACAAGGTGGTGGGATAGACAAAAAAAAATTCATCTTTAATCAGTGTTCTCCTAGGACAGACCTAGAAGGCAACTTATCTTAGTGCTTCACTTTGTAACTGTGCTATATTAAATACGTACACATTTTAAATTTAAATCAAGTTATTCAATACTTGCCATCATTATATAATTAATATTCGTAAAAATTAAATTTCACCGTCTCTAATAGTCACTTATTTGAACCATTGTGAAAGGTTACTCCGTTAATAATTATTCAATGAAAATGTAAATTAATCGAAATTTGGATATCGAACGATGAGTGAAAATAATAATATAATGATATATGGTTTGACTGGTTGCAACATAACTTGGAAATTTAAATTTTTTTTTTTAGTTTTGGTGCTTTCCCTATAAAATGTCGTTTTCATAACCGACCTTCTATAGGTCACTATTTGGCCAATTAATATGACTCGCATAAAGAGCAATACTTTGGAAATGAGAAGATGAAGATGATGTATGGTATTTGATTGATGTTCGATTAATTTAGATTTACGTTAATAAATTTTACTTTAAAAGATAAAGTATTTTTCTATCAAAAGAGATCCAATATTTAGAATTCAAATTGAGACATATAATTAACATTATACGTTGTTGGAACGGGGTTGAAAGTATATGACATCACACATGTTTGAGTTTTTCATTGACGTGCACTGATTTGAAATTACTACTATAACTATACTAAAAGTTGAAACTTGAAACTTAAAAACGCTTAGTTTTGACTTAAGTTCCTTACATGACATGTTCTTCTCCCTAATGGAATGAAGCGCGTTCCATTCTAATATAATTATATTTTTTAATACTCTATCTAGATTCAATGGAATAATCACTATGCTAGCTAGTTGCATGCATGCTATGTGTTTAATCGAACCACAAACAAATATAATATGTTTATTATGAATTTCGGTTGAACTTAGTATTTTCAATACAAAGTACATAAATTTATGTATAAAATACTAAAATTTTAACAAGTGCTAAACGTAGAATCCACATTTCCAAAAGTAGAATAGGTTTAATGATAAGATTGAAGAAGTCAGATCAGATCAAATTCAAATTTTAAATCCGTCTATGACTCAGAACTCTAAAAAGTGTCTATTCAACAAGAGAAGAATCTTAATGTTTTATCCTTGAGATTCTAGTGGATTTTAATTGACTTTTTAATCTCTTAGTGGATGTTAATTAATTAATTTATTCTATAATCTCGATGGATTAGTAATGTTTAGACTTTATATTTCTAACTAAATTATGTATTATGGAAGCATGGATAATGTTTTTTTTTTAGGTAAAAAGCCAAATTAAAGTGGATTTACTTGAGACAAATTAAAAAATGTTGGGCGGTTAATTAGTGACTAATTAGATGAAAATTCTCTAATGGATTTGACTGTGGAAAGACATTTCAATTTCAAGCCTGATTCATCCCAAATACATGTTTCTTATCTAATAAGTATATTATACCTTTCACACTTGAGAGTTAAACACATTTTTTTAACTACAATTTTATATATTTTTAAAATATTTTAAATTATTAATTATTATAACTTATAATATTTTTTAAATATATATAAAAAAAATTAGACAATTTAAAAGTTTTATGTTCATAGTTATGATCAAAATTAGAAAAAAATTGAATCTTGAAATTTGGTTTATTCTCTAAGTTAATGTGTGAATATTGCCACCTACTACCTAACAGATCATTTTATGGTATTTTTATTATAAAAGTGGATAGGCACTAGTTGCCTTCTGCTTCAAAATTTGAAGTATTTTGATAAACTTTAAACATCCTGCGTATAGCGAGATTCAGATACGACTTTTATTTGAGTTTAAATCATGATTAAATATATCGCGTACTTATTTGATAAATTTAGTAAAAAAGTATATTAAAATTGTATTGTTACTATTTGCTATAGTTTTTTATACAATAATAAGTCTTTTTATCTTAATATAAGCAGTGTAAGAGCAAATGTTTTAGTTTGATTTCTAGGAACAACATGCTACATGTAATAATGTCAAATAATCAAAATCGAAATGGTGATCGAACACAGTATTTGTTACAAATTTGATAAAGAAATAAATATCGTACCTTTACTATAGTTATTCCTTGTAGCATATTAAACATTTGATTCTAACAAGTAGTATAATAGATAGTTAAGATCATGATTTCATTTTCAAAAACAACATGCTACGCGTGAGTCGTGACAAGTATCGAGAGTGAAAGGGTTATAGCTTTAAAGAGTAATGTTAATATCCGACCTATGACAACGCCTGATTTATTAGAGATGGCTCGAATCGAAATCATCTTGAACATGACACTTGTTAGACAATAAGTTGCGCTCTTACGCCCATCCGAACAACTATTATTTTTTCTTTTTTATTCTTTACTATACATTTTAAAAGTAAGTTTATCATATGAGAAAAAGAATAGAGTTTTTTTTTTGTATAAATAGATATATCCCTAAAGAAATCAGACTTCATTCTTTTATTAAGGAAATAAATAACTGAAAATAAGCGAAAATCAAATAAAAATGTTATCGCAATTCTTAATTAATGAACTAAATGTTTGTTTAGCTCTACTTTTTTAGGTAATAAGTCTCTGATCCATCACTAACCCATATTATATAATAGCCAATTTTGTCTAAATCTGTAATCCTTTGACTTGTTCACTATAAAATATTTATCACTTTTTGCTTTTGTAAAGCTAAACCAAGTGAACCTTTTAAAAAATCCGAACTTATAGGATCTCCATCTTTTGCTTCTGTTTAACTAATAATAATAATCTAATCTAATCTCAAAAATAAATTAATATACTTTAATTTAGAAATAATAACACTTCGGTTCCTTAATAATTGATAAATTCTAATTTTGATCTTCGTAATATATGATTAATTCCATATAACCTTCGTTAATTTTAATGTGCAATTTTTATTCCTATGTAATTTCACAAATTCAAATTAATGAAGACACGTTAAATTTTTTTATACCCAAATATCACAAAAATTAAAATTTAAATAAATTTTTTTATTCATAAATGGGGGACCAAAAGTACTACTATCATCTCTATAATTGAACTTTGATTAAATTATCTTGATAAGTGAAAAGCATCAAATAAATTGAAATTGAGAAAATAATCTTAGTGGAAAGAGGAAACAAGGAAATAATTCTTTTTTATTTTAGATGTTTTGTCCTCTCTTAACTTAGGTTGAGGAAAAGACAACAAAAAGGACAAATACTAGTATATATATCAACACAAATAGTTTTTAAAATTTATTGTTTTTGTTGTTGGGAGCATTAATGGTGGTGGGGTTGAAAGGATGGTTGAGTAGTTTATTCTTTTCACAACATGTTAGATAGTTCCTTCATTCATATTTTATTTTATTTGAAATTTCCATATATGGAAAATAAAATAAAAAGAAATAGACTAGAAACGATATATTCATATTAATGATAGAAACATAATTTATATGTTCGTAGAGGAGAAAATGAATTGTTGGATTCATATACTTGGTTCGTATGATATTTTTTTGAAATTTTCATGTATAGAAAAGAAACTTAAAAAATAGACTAAAAATGATTCATGTCAATTAGAGAGGCATGAATAATGTTTCACTGGATTGATGTAGATCTAGTAGATAGGACAATGATCCACCAAATTTACATAAAGAATCTACAATATGAGCATAATAAATTGCGTATAAAAGAAACATGAAAATATAGTAACTCATGATAGAAATTAATCCTTCGGTTCATAAGAATTTTTTTTGAACTTTCCATAATATAGAAAAGAAACAAAGAAATAAATCTGAAACGATTCATGTCAATTACAGAGGCGTGGTTGATGCGGCACTGAATCGATGATGGAATCGTAGATAGGGAGAGTGATTTGTCGAATCCACATCTTAAATTACGTAGGATAATAAAATAAATTGCTTCTACTTTCGGAAGTAAAACGTATAAAGAATGATATCCTGACCCCATTATTCCGATGGTTATTAGGATATCTTTGCTTTGATCACGACTTTGTTTAGTCAATCTCTTCGGCTCATGTTTCAAAATTAGCTATTGATGAATTGATTTTAAATGAATAAAATTGGAATATGAACAAAATACAGAGAAATAACGATTACTTTGAAGTTCCGTAAAAAAAAGATCTATCATGAAAGAAGTTACGAGAGATATGTACCTAGGAAGTTTCGAGTTCATAGTAGTCATGAAACGAAAATTAAACTTTAGAATTTAATTTCCTTTTATTTCTTAACAATATGATCAAACATAAATTATTGATATATTATTCTATGTGCTTTTGGG